TCCATTCCCTGAATTTTGTGATGTCACTTGAATTTTGAGATACCCCTAAATGTGTAGATACTCCAAAGTTTTGTGGCATGCCTAGGGTTTGAAATGTACCTACGTTTTGAGGCATTCCTAAGCTGAATCGTGAATTTCTATGTATCGATGAAGTGCCGGTTCCATTCATGTTATTGGATAAGAAACCGGGTGGTCTTACACTAGTATATGGCCCTGCATATGTGGTTATGGGGTTTCCCATAGTTTGCATATTATTTGATATTGCTATACTAGCTCCTACATGGGTGTTTGCCAATGGACCTGGATTTTGTTCATTACTTATTGGTATCGACGTGCTCACGGTTGTCGACACTACTCAGGTATACTCCCATTATGCCCTTGCCCTTGCCCCCGAGTATTTGGTGGGAGCACACCACTTAGACCCTCATTGTTATTCGACTACTTGAGGAATTCGACTCATTCTTATAACTCTCCCACTTCTTAATCTCATACACTCTCGAACTAACCTCTTTTGTGTTTTTTCAACACAAGTCCCCTACTGGCGCGCCAATTTGTTTCTGGTGGAATTTCGATCGATTTCGATTCTAAGGGTGTTTTGGTCCTAATCAAAATTCTACCACGTAAGTTCTTTTTACTTAGGCTAGCAATTTGATTTTCAATCGAAAACGCGTATGAGAATTGAAAACTACAGGATATCGAAAATGTGGTTTTTGGTATTTTATGTCTAAAATGCTTGACTCAAACAAAACAGTAAAGTATCGAATCGAGCAAAGAGAATATTAAATTGCAAGAAAGTGCGAAAACCCCGAATTTGCAAGAAATTAAGTTTGCGAGATAAATAAAGGGCAGGAAATCGAAATGTGCGGGAAATGTAAATTGCTAAAACCCATTAAAATTGCACAGAAAGTAAATAACAGGAAATCGAAATGACATTGAATGTAATCTACAAGAATATGAAATTGCTGAATTGAAATGGCTCGAAAGTAAATTACCAAGGAAAATATAGAAAGCGATAAATGTACTCAGTGAGCAAGGAAATCCAGATTGCCAGAAACTTCATGGTGTTCGTCGTTTCTCCGGTAGACTTTTCACTACTGATTCTGTTCTCTGCCAATTTCCCCCCCGTTCCTTCCTTCTTTGCTCTATTTATAGGGCATCTTTCAAGCCTTCCAAGAACAGTTAACACGACTGTTACCACGTTCTACGTGCGTATGGCAGTTTTTCTTCTATTGTTTCCCCACGTTCCCATGATTTTTGGCTCTTCCATAACTTAGAAGCTGCTTTCCATGCGTGCGTTTTGACTATTTTCCTTCGAGGTTTAGCAGAGGTTATGATATCTACGAAACGAGCCTTCCCTTTGATTTAATCGAGAACTTTGCATCCTTGGTATCGATTTATTTTAACTTTAACTCCATGTTAAGCTTTCGACTATTACACCTTCTCTTCGATTTTACCTTTCGATTTTATGTGTCACGTTCTTTATAATCGGACATCAGGAAAGTTCCCTTTCGATTCATTTCTCGATCAGGCTTCTCGATTCCACACTAACAGCACTTAAAAAATTTATCCATTAAAATGAGTTTCATTAATTTTTTAAATAAAATTAAGAGCATGTCTAATCAAGCAATTTTAATAAATAAATAAAATAAATGAGGTGAGAAAATAAGTTTTTTAAAATTTATTAATTTTTTTTAAAAATAAAATAAAATAAAAAATAAATTGTTTAAAAATATATGACATTATAAATTTGTATTTTATATTTTCTAAGATAAAAGGCAAATGAACTCAGTTACTTAAAAATGTCCAAAAACGCGATTGCCTGTAGGATCTTTAATTTTGCTGTTTTCTTGAAGGTGGTTTCTTTTGGTTTGCGTTTGGATTCAGAGGGCCGAATAATCAACAAACGTGGCATTTCCAATTATTGTTTTCCCTTTTTCATTAAAATAATTTGTTCGAATTAATGTTTACCATATGCATGTAGATTTTAGTAGTATAGTACGATGATAATGTGTAATGTTGTCCACACACACCTAACAATCATACGTAAGATTTTTATCTCCTAATGTTGTGCAAAATGAACATTTTTTATTTATTTCTCTTTCTCCTAAAATCAATTATTCTTTAAAATCAAGTTAATTTTTCAGTCATAACTTGTAATGTGTATTCTAAAAAATAATTTGAAATGCCCTGCACAGTGGCAGGCATCGTAACGGGACCCGCGGGTTTTGTCTTCGATTTCCGTTCCTTGACCTTTTTAATCGTTTCTGCCTTCAATTTCTGTTGGAATTAAAAATTAAATCTTTAATTTTCATTTTCGTTAGGTTTCATATTTCTCTTTTTTGCCCTATTCTTTATTTATATTATTTTAAAAAAATAATTATATTTATAATAATTAATTTTGCTATTTTTATATATAAATAAATATTTATAATTTTATAATTTAAATTATTATTAATTAAATATATATTAATTTATTATATTTATATTAAAATATACATAAAAGAAATATTTAATCATTTTTATTTATACATATATAAAATATTTATAACATTATTATTATTATTATTATTATATATTCAAATATTTTTAATACTTCTCCCATTTTTATTATTATTATAATATTATATTCAAACATTTAATTATTTTAATTTATTTTTAAATTGTCATTTAAAAATATAAAATATATAATTTATAAGAAAATATTTAATAAGTTAATTCTTATTTAATTAGTTCAAAATAATAAAAATTTAAATTATCATTTTTTTAATCATTTAAAATATAATTATTTTATTAAGATAAAATTTGATATATAACAAATAAAATTAATAAGATCCAAAAAAATATGACATAATAAAACCTAATAAATATAAATTATAAATAAAATAATATTAGTTGTTATTAAGATTTATGTAAAATATTTTAAAAAAGATAAAGAAGAAAAAAAAGTGTTGTATTCATCAAATTGGTTGAAAAGATTAAAAAAAACAAATTAATTAGATAAATTAATGTGAAAATTTGAAAGGTAAGAAAAAGAGAATAATGTAATCAACTAATTGATATAAAAGATTTAAAAAGATAAAAGAATTAAAAAATGGGTAGAAGAAAAGTAAAAATAGTAAAATATAAATAAATAATCTTACATGTTATAAAAAAAGAAAATAAAATATTTTTTAAATATTAATATTTTAAAATTTAAATTTAAATATAAAATCGGGATCGAACAAAACCGGGATGTGAATTACATTATCCATGTCTCGCTCTGCACCCGACTTTGTAAAGTGGGAAAAACTCAAACTCATTCTCGCCCACGATCAATTTAAGATGGGGATGTATCGATTCTACAATGACGTGTTTAATTATCATCCTACACAAAATAAATAAATATATATATATATATATATATATATATATATATATATATATATATATATATATATATATATATATAAATTTTGAAGCATGAAAAGAAAACCCTTAAATTTCCGAATACGATTAATTTGAACTATATTTATTTCATAAAAACATGTAAAACAAATATTTTAATTAAAAGTTAAGATTATAAATTTTATATCATTTTAAAAAACACATCTTTATGATTTATAAATATTTAAAATAAAAAATAATATTATATATGACTACTTTTGACTATCAAATTGTATATTTAAAATAAATAAGTAACATTTATTTTATTTTATAGATCTAAAAATTTGTTGAAAGATATAAAATGATGATAATTGATTTTATAAAGTTAGGAAACAAAATAAAGTACCATTGGTTATAAAATTATTAATTATGATTATAATTTGTTTTAGTTGTGAGTATTATCGTTTAGGAATCGATGTAAAAGATAGTTTAAATACATTTTTTTCTCTTCATCTACCAAAACAGTTTTAATAAATAAAATTATAGCGAAGAAAAATTTTAACCATTTAGATTTATTTAAATATGTATATGATATTAGTATAATTTTAAACCATTAATTTCATAATCGATGAATATATACCGTACGTGTAAAGTGTATTTATCTATGTTGCACCCAAATCCTAAATGTTGATATTGTATAATATATTTCTAGAACATATACAAGATTGACCTTTTATTAATTATATAATTAATTATTAACAAAATTCATTAATAGTAGGATAAAAAATAAAAATTGAACCTTTTTCATGATAGAAACTAAAAAAATAATTGTCATAAAGACTAAAATCAAAATTCATTAATTTTTACAAAGACTAAAAATATATTTAATCATATAATCCATAATTTATATTGAAACAAGATGCAATTATCAAAATTGATATACAATATAAAATATTGTCAAAATATTTTGTTATTTATCTTTGTTTGTTTTGATGTTTATCTCGGTCATTATTCTTTTATACTATATTAACTATATTAAAATTATAAATCATGTGTACTCATTTTATTTTATCTAAAGAATTATACAAAGCCTTGAATAATTTGGTTTTTAAAAAAAAATTGTTGCTGAAATTAATTATCTATTATTATTTATTATTTGTTTCTATTTATATCAACAAGACTGCGAAGTCTTCATATTTAAATGTAATCATATTATTTTTTTAAAATAGAAATATTTAATTGAATGTTATATTTATAAATACATGCGGCGTTTAGAAAGGAGTTAAAAACGGAATAAGAACTTGTTTCCCATAAACACAAATATTTTCTTCCAAAATAAAACCTGAACCTCAAGTTGATTTGTTAATTTACCTTTGATTAACTGAAAAGGTATTGAAAATGGGAAAGAAGAATCTATATATTTTTTTATTGAGGGAAAATATATACTTATTATTATTATTATTACCTGATTGATTTATAATCTAAGACAGGAGGTAAATTAGGAGGATAAATCAACCCTGAATTATTATAATACAAAATATTTAGAAATACATAATCTAGGAGGGCGTAATTGTAGGGTTTGTTTGCATATAAATATGCATAAACGTTTTGATGAAGTGAAGCAATTGTTTGGAGATATGCATAACCCTGATTTTGCTGTAGCCACCATGGATAGGTTTAAGGAGGAGAAGAAGAAGAAAAACACAGGGCGAAAGAAGATTGAGATAAAGAAGATTGAGAAAAACACCAACAAGCAAGTGACATTCTCGAAAAGAAGAGTAGGGCTGTTCAAGAAAGCGAGTGAACTGTGCATTCTGTGCAACGTTAACATGGCCATTATTGTGTTTTCTCCTGCTGACAAATTGTTCTGCTTTGGGCATCCAGACGTGGAGGGCATTGTTGATAGCTACCTGAAGGGAGCCAAAGTGTTGGAAGCATCATCAGAGCCAAGAGGGTCATATGAAGAAAGCAACATGCAATATGAGGAGGCAATGAAGAATTTGGCGTTGGAAAAGAAGAATCTGACAGAAACTGAAACACTGGCTAAGGAGGGGTTGAACAGAAGGTGGTGGGAGGACCCCATTGATGAGATGAATGAACGTGAGTTGGAACAGTTCACGGTGCCACTCTATGAGTTGAGGAAAAAACTAGCCGAAAGGGCTGGTCAATTGTTCATGCTTTCAATTCAATGATGTAGAATTCAATCTTCTACTTTTCATTTTCATGATGAACAAAATTATATTATATATATATATATATATATATATATATATATATATATATATATATATATTATGTTTAGTCTTGCTGTTTAATTTCTTTGCATCTCATTGAACAAGTGTATTCTTTTATGTGCAAAAGAAAAGACGATAATAATCTTTACAAGCTGGACATGGATCACTCTTATTATATTATATGCAGTTTTAAAATGCTTTGTTTTTAAAGTAAAGAATAATTTCTAACATTTTCTTAGCTAGATTTCCACTTTCAATCGAACATGGTTAACACGTATGAAACTATTTGCGTTCTTTAATCAAATGTTTTAAGATTTGATTTCTAATAATACAATACTTCCTTGAGTTATTATGGAATAAGCATGCTACGAGGGGGATATTTATGAATTCTTAAGATTAACCTTAAAGTCTGATATTATAAAGAAAAAGCAAAACAAAGTTGGAACTAATTCAACCTTATGTTTATACACGTTAACCGTGAGAGTTAACACCAACATTCATAATGAGGGTTGCTTAATTATTTTATGAGTTATTTACTAATAAAATCATTTTTTAATTAATTGTCTAACATCATCTGTACTAAATATAGAAAAGAGAACGTAAAATATTTCAAAAATTCTGTGACTTAAATAATTTGTCAATAATATTTTTTAATTGAAATAAAAATGAATTGAATTACTTGAATAAGTGGACAGAACAGTATAAATAAATGTCTGAATTTTAGGTTTGGTACCATACATACTGTAATGTTTTTCTGGATCTCGACAAATGTTTCTCACCGGGTGGAGGCCTCAATCCTGTAAGTATGGGCACAAAATTGTTAAATCTAAGGATTCAATTTGAATCAATGAATGCATTCCTCACAAGGAACCCATCAATTTGTCTTAGAAATCAAACTTTTAGGGCTTTCTCGTCCCACAAATTGTCACCCACGAGATCAAACAAAAGCTTAACTAATGCACTGGGAGTCCTTAACCTTGTATCCCCACAAAAACGTGGTACTGATGTTGAGAGTCGTCAAAGGCATCTTAGGGTCATTGAGAACATGTTGGAAAACTATGCAACCACAACAATTCCTCTTGGTCACAATTCAGCTACTCTTGGGACTACAACTGAAATGACTAATCAGTCCTCTGCTCTACAGATGGAACGAAGGTTCGGAGTTGATGTGTGCTTCTTCTCACAAGCTGTGAGCTCCTGTGGGTCCAAGCGTGACCTTCGGGGAGGAATTCAGTACCACTGCTTAGCTATAGCAACTGGGTTCATTGCCAATGTTTATGTTGGAAGTTCTTTGATAAGTTTGTACAGCTGGTGTGCCTTGTTGGATGATGCATACCGTGCGTTTGAAGAAATGCCTGTGAGAAATGTAGTTTCATGGACGGCTATTATTGCTGGGTTTGCCCAAGAATGGCGTGTTGACATGTGTTTGGAGCTGTTTCATCAAATGAGGGGATCGGATTTGAGGCCAAATTATTTTACGTACACTAGTCTTCTAAGTGCTTGTATGGGCAGTGGAGCACTGGGACATGGAAGATGTGCTCATTGTCAAATAATTCACCTGGGTTTTCATTCTTACCTCCACATTGATAATGCTCTAATTGCTATGTATTCCAAATGTGGAGCAATTGCTGAAGCCTTGTACATATTTGAAAATATGGAGGGCAGGGATGTTGTCACATGGAATACCATGATTAGTGGCTATGCGCAGCATGGGCTTGCACGAGAGGCAATTAATCTCTTCGAAGGGATGTTAAAGCAAGGTGTCAATCCTGATGCTATTACTTACCTTGGTGTCTTATCCTCGTGCCGGCATGGAGGTCTTGTCAAAGAAGGCCAAATTTACTTTAATTCCATGGTTGATCATGGTGTGCAGCCAAAACTAGATCATTATTCTTGTATTGTAGATCTTCTTGGTCGAGCTGGTTTACTTTTGGAGGCTCGTTATTTCATCCAAAATATGCCTGTTTTTCCCAATGTTGTAATATGGGGTTCACTACTTTCGTCCTCTAGGCTTCATGGAAGTGTTCGGATTGGCATCCAGGCAGCAGAAAGTAGGTTGTTGCTGGAACCGGGTTGCTCAGCTACACTTCAACAGCTAGCGAATCTATATGCAAGAGCTGGTTGGTGGAATCAGGCAGCACGAGTGCGAAAATTAATGAAAGACAAAGGTCTAAAACCAAATCCTGGTTGTAGTTGGGTTGAAGTCAAAAGCAAAATCCATAGATTTGAAGCACAAAATAAGTCAAACAGCAGAATGACAGACATTGTTTTGATAATGAATAGTCTGATAGACCACATGAATAGTTTAGACCTTCAGTCTCAGATGTGTGAGGAGGAAAATATCTGGCTTTCAGTTTCACAATGTTAACTCCATTGCGGGGGCCCTGTAACATTTCCAGCATTAACGATTTGGAATGGGTGGGAACTGAGGGCAGTCATTTTGTGGTCAGTGGAATGTTTGTTCATCGATGATGGGAAATTCAAGAAATAGCTGAAGCAATATAGTTTGAGTAAAATTTGATGTATGTGGAAAGTGCACATGCTCCTTGTCCTTGTCAAAACTAAAATTTTTGCAGAAAAATGGACGTAAGTGATTGATTACTGTTGATACCTGACCAAGCATGTTCTGTTCAATTGACAAAGAGTGATCTCACCCATTTCATTATTCATTATTGTTTTATTTGGACGGGGAGTAAATTTCAGAAAGAAAAGAAAAAAAAAGAGATTAAAATCATGATAAATCAGAATTTCAAAATAAACTTTAACTCAAATGGAACAATGTAGTAAATTCAAACTCATTTTTAATCCGATTATTTATCCTCTCATCCATTCTAACAATAGAATGATAGAAGCAAACAAAAACTAAATAATTCTTAATGGTTAACACAGTTCCTTGACACTTGATGTTAAGAACTAACAGTGTCACTTTGAGGTTGATATCACTTACATGACTGAGAAAAAAAATTTAATACGACGCACATGATATGTGTAGCTTAAGCAAATTCTTTTTCAGTTCGCCTGGCTAGACATTGTTACCACCTCAACAAGATTTTGGTTAATATTGTCACAAGTTTTGCTTTTGCAAAATTTCAATTCGATTAAAGGGAAAATTTTACTTTTAGTTGTTATATATATATATATATATATATATATATATATATATATATATATATATATATTATATTGTCAAATTTAAATTAGTCCTTCAATTTGTAAAAACACGTTAAATTAGTTATTATTAATGTTTATATTTAATATTTAACAATCATTTTGATAAAGTAAACAATGAATAAAATCTACATAAATTTTTAAAAATTTAATAATTACTTAACTAATTCGAAATTATAAGAATAAAATGAAGTTATTTTTTAAATTATAAAGATTAAAAACATAATTTTTCTCTTTATAATCTTCTGGAGTTGAAAGTCTTTAGCTTTCAAGACTTGTTCATATATAATTATTTGTATACTTATAATGTTTTATATTAATTTTAACTATATTGATTTCCAATTATTTATAAATTTGACCTTCTAAATAATAAAAAGAATACACCTTATTTTTATTTATGCTCTTAATGTTGCCTTTCAACCATTATTTGGTCGCATAAGAATCTATGGATAGGAAGAAGGTTTGTTTTTTCCCATTAGGGAATAATTTTTAATAGCAGGGATAATGGGAATAATTTTTTAATAACAGGGTTAGCAATTAGTAGTATTTTGTTATTATTTGTTGGCAAAACGACAAATGCATCCATGCTTCTATCTCTACATTTTTTTATTTTTCGGCAAAGCAAAGAGAAATATTGGATAATTAAACAGTAACTAACTAGTATTACTTTTACATGATTAGAGAGAAAAACATACTAAAAATAGTTATTGAATAGTAATTTATAAATATATTTGTAAACACCTTTTTGAGTTTAGAAGTATCTTTTAACGATTCTCTCCTATTCAACTCACCAATTACATAATATATATTAACATACAAGAAAAATAGGTTTTTTCATATATATTTTTTTTAATTTAGAGGAGAAAACAAGGTAAAGAAATGCTAGTTAGCATCGCCTTTTATTTATTATCATTTCGTGTAATATACAGTTTGAATGCAGAAACAAAATGAAGATGCAAATGGCAATGAGCATGCAACTGACACCCTTTATCTCTAGTCCCCAACAAAGACAACTCAAAAACCTTAATTTTCGAAACAAAAATCCAACACTGACTCGTTGCGTTATTCACAATTCAGACCTCCATACATCTCAGACTCTCAGACTTGTCCACCACTTCAATCCGAAGACCCCCATAGAGGAAGCCGTTACCCCCCCAACATCATGGTATACTGACCCCTCTTTCTTCCACCTTGAGCTCCACCGTGTCTTCTACAGAGGCTGGCAAGTAGTGGGTCAGTTTTATTCTGCCCCAAAACTTCAACCTTTTCCCCCTTCTTTTCTTCGGTATTTTCGTTTTGCTTTCCTGACCCTGCAGGGAATACAGAGGAAAACAAATCGTAGATGTAGAATTTCAATCCAATAACTAGTTTTGATGATTGAAAAGAAGAAGAAAATGATTTTTATTTTTACGATGCGTATTGTATGGTGAAATACCTTTGCAGGAAACAAAGATGATGGCTGGGGATATGAATATGAGTATAATACTTTCCATTTGGAGGTCCACTTCATCTCAGTTTTAGAGTCAATTAGTTTCCCTTGTGTTTTATATGTAGTTAATGCAGACCATTATCTCTGGTAACACAAATATGATCTTCTTGTATGGGAGTAAAACAAGGGAGTGACACTTACTATGGTGGACCAACTTTTCCATAAAGAATTATAGTTGAAAAAAATAAAAACAAAAATTGAAATGAGTTTCTCAATAAACGAAAATTTGTGTGTCTATCCTCAAGTTATAGAAAAATATATGAGAAAACTTATACAGATTAACTTATACATAAGTTAATTTTAATCTACGGAGAAATTCATTTTATTTTTTCTTCGCAATTTTTTTTTCTCTCTTTGAAATCATTACGAAAAAAATTTATCCAAACATGTCATTGGCAAGGCTCTTTCAATCATGTCTTCTACATTTTACCTTATGAGAATTTGTGTCCGCTAAAATTCTTAAGTTTCACTCAATTTTTATTATAGGATCCACCGAGCAGATAAAGGATCCCCGTGACTATTTCACTGGAAGGTTTTCTTTTCTAATCCATCTATTTGTCTTCGATAGAAATGCATAGACTCAAGTTCATTTCTTAATTTGTGGTATTTATTTGCATCTGTTGATAACAAAGTTGTCTAATGGTAGCTCCATTTGGTTCTTAGAAAGGGAAAAGAATATTTAGGAGTGACTTAATCAGTTGTGCACTCTATTCATTTCTTTTCTTTCATGTTTCTGAGAACCAAGTGGAGACTAAATATTGCAGACTAGGGGATGTGGAATATGTGGTCTGTCGTGATGACAGTGGCATGGTCCGTGCCTTTCACAATGTCTGTCGTCATCATGCTTCTCTACTTGCTTATGGAAGTGGAAAGAAGTCCTGCTTTGTCTGCCCTTATCATGTGAGTTCCCCAAAAGTAATAGACATGCATATTAGCTTATTTATCTTGATTCTCTGCTCTATGGATCTCCTGACCCTTTGAAATTGTAAAGATTTACTTCCTATGTAATGGTTGGTACTTCGTTATCATGATCTAATACTTTCTCATAGTAGGTTTCTATTTTACTTTTCTTTTTTTTTTCGTTTATGAAGCTTGATATGAAAATGCAATGATTTCTGCAGGGGTGGACATATGGTTTCAATGGAGCACTTCTAAAGGCCACTAGAATATCAGGAATGCAAAATTTCGATGTAAATGTATGCATATATGTTCTGTGATAAGTTACTTGTACATATAATTTTCAGGGGAAAAGGTCAACTGATTTCTCTGTGACCATGAAGGGTAGGATTTTGGCCTTTTACCAATCAAAGTAGCTACCTGGGGGCCTTTCGTTCTTCTCGATTTGGCAAAAGAGAATCTTTCTCAGAAGGAAGTTGATGGTCATAATGTGTCGAAGGAATGGCTGGGTAGCTGTTCAGAAATACTGAGTTCCAATGGAATTGATTCTTCACTAAGTTATGTTTGTAGACGTGAATACACAATTGAATGCAATTGGAAGGTGTGAATTGACTATTTGATTCAATTGATTCTTTTATTACTTGAGGTACATTTTCATTTTCTTTATAATTATGTGAACGGATATTTTACCAGGTTTATGAAACTTCACCCTCACGTATAATGGGCAAACCTGTTTGCTCTCTCTCACCAGTGGACATTCTCTACAAGAAATTTTTAAACAACATCAAATTTTATTATATACACAATGTCTTGTGTTTTTTTGAATGATTGAAGGAGTTGCTCAGGACTTTAGTAATGGGGCCTTCTTTTGCAGGTATTCTGTGATAACTACTTAGATGGTGGTTATCATGTGCCGTATGCACATAAAGGCCTTGCATCTGGTCTTAAGATGGATTCCTATTCTATCACTGTAAGCTTCTTTGCTGCCTTTAAAAAATATTTTCATTTTACATTCTATTGCACTGTAGCATGAAAGTTTGAGTCATGTAGATGGTTTTTTGGAACCCTTGTTACATACATGACTTTCATCCTTTTCAGAACTGACCAGAATAGAGAATTGTGTTTATCAATCTATTAACTAAAATAATTTGCTACAGTGAGCTAAAATAAAATAATAAGTACTTTTGGCACGAGATTTTCAATTGGTTTTTGTTACACAGAGGTTACTTATGTACTAAAGGATGGTTTATTAATGAGACAGATGTATGAAAAGGTTAGTATCCAAAGCTGTGAAGGTAGCTCAGACAAAAGTGGAGAGGATTATGATCGACTTGGAAGAGAAGCTATATATGCTTTTGTTTACCCAAACTTCATGATAAATAGGTGCTTGCTTGGTTGTTGTTTAGGCATGGTTGATCAATTTTTCAGTCACTTAGTCATTTTAACAATAAATTTTAGTATATTCCCTGTATTTGTTTTGCTAATTAGCATGCTTCATAACTTGGGGTGCTTGCTGGCCTTCATAGGTATGGACCTTGGATGGACACGAATCTTGTGGTTCCACTAGGACCCAACAAATGTCAAGTAATATTTGACTACTATCTTGAACACTCTCTGAAGGTAACTTGCATATGCCTGATATTGTATCCACGATTTCAGAATCTCTAAATGTATCTGGTGTTAACTACTGCACTATCAACCTCATTGGATTAAGGATAACAAAGAATTGTTTTCTTGTATGGGCTCTCTTTTGGTCCATCTGCAGAAAATTTTATTTTGCTGACATTTTATTTATACTAGACAAGCTTTTTTATGGGTGATGTATAAATAATTAGATTCTACTTAATTTGGCATCAAAACTACTACTCCAACGTATTATAATGATGAAACTTAGTCACCATGAGGGATTTTAGGCGGAAAGAGTTGGTAATTAAATGGCATATGAAATGTGAGGAAATGAGAAGTTCAGATTTTTGCCGTCATTCTTAGAATGATTTTTATTATGATAGTGATATTATACCAAAACCACTCCTATTATTACATCGATGGATTTTCTATAAACTCCTACTGAAGTCCCGTGACTTTTATTTTTTTATAAATATATTGAAGCCTCGAGACTTTAATTAATATATTTTTTTCAGAAATTAATTCAGGATTTTTTAGTGGTCCCATTCCTTAAAGGATTGATTGAGTCTTTCAGTTTGTGGGTTCACTCCACAAATCGCTGGGGTTAGAAACAAATGTAGATAAATACGTATTAAACCAATTGAAGTCAATTTAAACACTAAGACTTACTATCTTCTCCTTGACTGAACAGAATGACACAGATTTCATAGAAAAAAGTTTGCAAGATAGTGAGAAAGTGCAGGTAAAAGCATTGGTTTTCCAGGCTTGATTAGATATTTTATTCGGTTGGAATATATATACCCACATTTGGTCGTTGATGAGCAGATAGAAGATGTCGTGTTGTGTGAAGGTGTCCAGAAAGGCCTCCAATCCCCAGCATATTCTGTGGGCAGATATGCTCCAACGGTTGAGCAGGCCATGCACCATTTTCATTGTCTGCTCTATGAAAACCTGACAAAGTAAACTCCTGCAGCTACGCAAAATTATTACATTGGACTATGTATCATGTCTCTTGCTGAACTTGGTAGCTGTTTGGAATTTATTACCAAGTACTATTGTGGTTGTTTCTCTGTAATTTAAATTTTCTGTCATCAGTAGGACAAGTTTTATTGTTCCAGTTTAAGGCTTTGTTTGGTGTAGCTGACGAGAGAGGGAAAGGTAAGAAAAGAGAAGAAATGGAAGGGGTGGTGCGGTTGAAAAAATGCGTTGAGAAAAGAGAAAAAAAATGAAGGAAGTGAATCCCATTACAATGTTTCCATGCAAAAAGGCAGATGCAATATGTGGAATTGGATCAGCACCACGTAATCAATTATATTACTAACGTAAATATTATTAAAATGAAGAGCATTGAAGTATATTTTATAATTATTACTGGTAATAGATAATCGATTATGCATATTTTATAATGATGATAAATAATTAAAAATAGTATAAATAAAAAAATTATTAATGGTATTTTTTTTTCATTAAAATAACCTCTTTTTTAAATTTTTTTCTCTATTTCTTTTCTCACTATTGTAAATATGATGATGGGGCTGGCGAACTAATACTTCAAAAATTATCGGATCTCCTAAGATTTTAGGACTATTTTCAGAGCACCATACTGCTGCTGGATGCTGAAAATTTCGTTGAAAAAATTCATTTACCCTGTACCGTAAAATGTTACATTTGCCTCGAATTTGTATTGGTTCGCATCTCAGTTGTTTCTTTCAAACTAATTTACTTCTGGATTATTTTAGTTAATTATACCCACATCGTTGTAGCTAGATTTTTTCTACTTGGGTACTTTTTCTTTTTACTTCAATTTTATCTAATTTTAAAAATACACGCAAAATACAAACAAGAAGCTGAATTTTCAACAATAAACCGGAATGATCATATATCTCTACAATTTTTCAAATATATGAAAATATAAATCAGGCTAGTTGAAATTCCGTTTATAGCAAACCTAACCTTGTTAGAACCTACGTATAAAACAAGTCCAACTTTTGTTTAGATACGTAGAATCTCTGTACAACTAGTATACATACTATTTACCGTGAGAGCAGAATGTAGGTAAACCTGTCAATAAATGAGACGGACGAGAGGCCAGCTGGATTTGTCTCTGTTGAGAGCCTCAGATTCGAAGACATGCTCGGATAAATGTACTGAGTTGAGCCTCAGGTACTGGTATCCATTTTCCAACCACAGCAAGAGGCCAGCTGAGAGAATGGGGAAACAGTTAGCATTCGTGCACGGAACATGTATGCGAGCATAAGCACATAATTGTAGTTCGAGTTATAAGATAAGCGCACAGTATTACAAACAAACGAACAAGGCCAATCTCCAACATAAACTTATCGGAGAATAAAATAGCATGCAAAGAGCAAGATACACTATGCATTCGACTACGTGTGATCATCCACTGACCTGATAAATGCTATAATAACAGAAATGAGCCACAGCTTCCAATCAAGCTTGACTGTTTTAGCGAACTTCCCAAGAAATTCAATGATGACAATCTGAAAAACAGTAACGAAGTTATGGTATCCTTACCAATATGTTATAAATAAAAGCAAACAACTAGAGAAGACTTTAACATGACTAACTGATGTGGTTGGAAACCATAGGCCTCCCAATTAAAGTATAGCTTAGAAGGGAAAGTAATAAGGCCAGATTGGGAAGGGGAGTAGAGGAAAATGTTATGCATGTCTCAAACAGAAAAGACATTTGACAGCATGGTATTGGAGCAAATGATGCAGCAATCATGATGGGGACGTGAATATGAAGGGAAGGAAGGGTGGTGCAGGGGTTGTATCATCATCATTTGGGTAGTTTTTGGGGCCAATAATGCCACGTGGCAGAGAAGGCTCTGAGTTTTTCTTTTACCTTTCTACTATTTCCATTGTAATCAGAACTTGGTTCTCTGCAATTTTTCTACTATTTCTACAGTAACATCAGTATGTATTGCTAACCTGGAGCACAACAGTTATTCCCACTATCCCCAAAAAGAGGTAGTTTCTTGAGACTCCCTTGAATATGTTGATTTCAACTGGATTTCGGGCATTAAATTCATTAAACACCTGCAGTTTTGGAAGCACATTTCTTCGTCATTATTTGAATGAAAATCTAAAGAATATAGTGCAATTATAAGATGCTACCAGCACAACTATAAACAGAGGATATAGCGGAAACGAAAAACAGAGAAATCCAACATCCATAAAGAGAAATTTATATGAAAATGTAAAAGAAAATGTGGTAGACTTTACTTCTGCCAATGAACACCTCGAGTCATTCATGGAGGTCCCGAGGGCAGAGACTCTCCCCCTTTTGTTAGCTTAGTGGCTCTCAGACTAGTATCATGATATCATCTTTATACCAGGCACGTGTGTTTTGTATTTGACTGACGTAATTGTTTTACCAACAACAAATTCATTTTCCTTTTGTATTTATCTGTTCATTCCTTCATAATTCGGTATTAGTAATATGATTTTGTTAATGCTAAGAATTAGGTTCATGCTGTTCATAATTAATTGCTTTAGATTATCCAAGAAGGATGGTATAACAGGGGAAGCATTGCTTTTGCAGTTTTTCTTGCTATTCTTGTTGCAGGTATTAATATTGTCTTTGCAAAGTTGATAATGCATTCAAGTTTCAAGATTCTTCTGAATTTTCAATTAGATAAAGGTGACAATGAGCTATTAAAAGTTTATATGGATAGTTTTAATTATAATTTATATTCAGATTAATAGGTGTAATTGTTATCAAATTTTAGTTGTATTTAAAAGTTTTCAATATGATCAGTTTTCAACCCTAAAAATATTGTGAAACCTAACCGTGATTTTATTTGTTCTTGTTAAATGTAAAAGATTTAGGCCCACGTCAGTTATTTATTTCCTTAATTTTTGTATTTATCTTATATAGAAAGGAATAACGCTGTACTTAATATACATTAGGGATTCAACTTTTTTCAACCCATTGTTCACTAATATTATATATATATATATATATATATATATATATTTTTTTTTTTTTTTTTCTCTTCCCTCCTTACCGCCTTGTCGCCGCCACTACCACCGCCATTTGGACTGACAACACCATTGTGGGGTTTGTCTTGGCGAAATGACCACTACACTGTAAGAATCACGACAATTGGAGCTTGTTGGAATTTTTTTTAATATTTTTTAGGGTTATTTCTCTCTTGATAATTAGTTTCTCTCACAACAATTATCTATGACCTCGACTGCTACATGCTATCTTCATTGAGTTTTTTCAAATGGTACATGTTGCATATATAAATACATCATTTGCTGACCTCACCCACTCTAATTTTCTAGGCCCGTAGGTCCTAGACACACGTGCCACAAATCACGTCACTTATAATAAATTCATGCTCTCTTCTCTATATAACTTGGGTTATGTACCTTATGTTACCATGGCCAATGGCTCTAGAGCCACCTCACATAGTGTTGGTACCATTCACCTTTTTTCTTCTTTATTTAATTTATTATTCACCAGTCAACTCCCTCGTTTCTTTGATTGTGTTATCTCGTTAATATCTTTTGTTTGTTTACATAACTAGATAATTGGTACAGGATACGAGTCTTTTAGACTTTATCATTTGCAAACGTATATATATATATATATATATATATATATATATATATATATATATATATATATATATATATATATATATATATATATATAATGGTTCGGTTATGAATTCTCCCTCTCTTTTTAGTTATTCATTTTAGTCTTGTTAAGATGAATCTACTTATTCTAATTTTTTCTAAGCTATTAAATTTGTATGTCAATTACGAAAACACAATCATGGTTCTTTTCTTAAAAGTGTATCACAACGTATTTTGTCTTCTCGTTAATTCATTCTAATATTTGGGGACCAAATTGTAACAAGTCAAGTTTGAAATTTTAGTATTTTGTTACTTTTATTAATGATTATTCAATATGTATTTGATTATTTTTAATGAAAGATCAGAGTTATTTCTTACATTTCAATTTTTTTACAATAAAATTAAAAATCAATTTGGAGTTTATATTTGAACCTTGCATAATAATAATGTCAGATGAGTATCTTTTTCGTTCTTTTCAAAATTTTATGATTTCTTATGATATTTTTCATCAAATTTCATGTGCACATACACCTCAACAAAACAAAATGAGGTAGTTGAGTGCAAAAATAGACATCTTGTAAAAACAATCCGTACAAGTTTAATCTATGATGAGGTTTCTCAACGATTTTGAGATAATGCTCTTCTTTGTGTATGTTATCTCATCAATTACATGTCATCTTTGACTTTAGATAACAAAGTTTTTCATTCTATTTTATTTTCTTATGAACTTCTTCATTCTTGACCACTTAGAATATTTGGGTCTACATGTTTTGTTTATTCATAATTATAGTCTTGGTCTTGATATACCTGCTAGGTACACAAATATGTCTTTTTAAGGTTCACTAAATCACAAAAGGGATATAAATGTTTTTCTCCTTCTTTTAACTGTTATTTCATTTTAGCTAATGTCACATTCACTAATCCCTCTACTTTCAGTCTAATCCTCCTCTGACTACGTCATCCAACAAGGCACACCTACAAACTTGATAAGAATAAACCACCTATTACCAAGATATAAAACCCACAAGAAATGAACAAAAGAAGCAACAATCCTAGACCACCAACAATAGGACACACAACACTCAAAGGATGAAAAACAACCAATCCAAGGAGTATAAAGTCAAGAGATGCGAATCAAGGGACATAACCCTTAGAATAGAGATATAACCAATAGGAAAAGTTATATCAATTGGGAACTGTTGTTAGAAACAATATAAATAGAAGTAATCTAGATTAGAAAAGATACAAAAAAGGAAATTAAGAAAGAATTGTATGGTGGAGAGATAGCCTCTCAAACTTGTGTTATAAAAAATATCTCAAAATTATCTTTATAGATTCTATTCATTTTTCAATCCTGTCTAGTTATTTTTTTGTTCGTATCAAAACTTATCAAAGAACTTCCAACATAAACATTGGCAATGAACCCAGTTGTTATAGCTAAGCAGTGGTACTGAATTTCTCCCCAAAGGTCACGCTTGGACCCACATGAGCTCACAGCTTGTGAGAAGAAGCATACATCAACTCCGAACCTTTGTTCCATATGTAGAACAGAGGACTGAATTATGACCAAGAGGAATGGTTATGGTTGCATTGTTTTCCATGTTCTCAATGAGTCTAAGATGCATTTGACGACTCTCAACATCAGTACCACGTTTTTGTGGGGATACAGGGTGAAGAACTTTTAGTGCATTAGTTAAGCATTTGTTTGATCTCGTGGGTGACAATTTGTGGGAAGAGAAAGCCTTGAAAGTTTGATTCCTAAGGCAAAATGATGGGTTCCTTGTCAGGAACGTATTCGTTGATCCAAATTACGGCCTTCTGCTAGTGAAAAAATATGTCAAATTGACCTACTTATATTATTTGTAGTTACATACTCGGAATTTCATATGAACCTACTTATGGATTATTCTCTGCTAACTCATTTGGTTGACCGTCAAAATTGAAAGTACGGGATATGGTAATCACAGTTGCCTCATAAACACGACGAGTGTACGTGCACAACCTTCGAACCAAGATTGTAAAAGGAAGATCTAAATCACAAGTATGATAGAAAATAAATATGATATTTTCAACTTTAAAAAGACATAGTAATTTTATTTATAATTTGGTTTGTATGGCAACTATTCTTTTTTAAATTTTCTAATATATCTATAATTATTGTTTACGATTGATTTACAAGTATTTCTGCAGATTTTAATCTAATGAAGAGCCCTAAATTAACTAAAACTGATATAGATGGACAAGTCCCGGTTTCACCAATATGATCAACCCACCACCCCCAAAAAAAAAAAAAAAATTCAAATATGCAATGTAGCGATCTGCCTCTGAAGCTTAGAACTTTGTAATTTCCTATTAATTGGTGACGAGAAGGACTTACTTGACAAAAAACAAACGCATTGAATATAAGAGAATTCTTCACTCTGGTTGCAGGGCGGTTGGGCTCATCCCTCAAACCCAGTAACTTAACACCTTGGAAATTAAGTATAAGCAAGACAGAAACTTGATACATTGCCTGAAAGGTTCCAACCATTACTGATGATTTAGAGACAGCAGAAATAATATGGCATAAGTAATGCCTTGTATTTTTAAGATAGTTAGTTGTGTGTGGCTTGGTCCACATGAAAAATAAAATCCCTGCCAATATCGATAGGAGTTCTACTAAATGAGAAACAGAATTCACCTGTATCAGCAGATTCCTCCACATAATATTTGATACAAGAGGTTCTCTGTACAGCGAAAAAAATACAGTCAATTTTATTACACAAAAACCATATAAAACATAGGCATTGCATCTGATGTTCCGGTAATGGAGCTTCAACAATAGACCCATTGTACACAAGTGCAACATATAAAATTCATGCAAGTATGATAAATTCAGCATTCACTATCATCTTTATAGCTGTTGGCTACTGATTATTTTCACTGTGATTCACAGCCTTTTACTGCATCAATGTGTTCTACTTCACCTTAAATGTACCCTGTTGTTTTGGTATTTAGCGAAGGATATATAACTTTGATCTTGAGCAATATTCTACTCTCTTCAATATTTTTTCTTCTAAAAAAAAACACTAAGAACAAAAAATCAACCTTCGGCCCATTGGATCTTGATCCATCAAGGAATCAGTTGGTGGTTCAGTTGCCAAGGCTAATGCTCCAAGAGTATCCATGATAAGATTTACCCAGAGAAGCTGTTAGAGAAGTTAATAAAGGAATAGTTCATAAGGATAGCTTTCTGACTAAATGAGGGGGCACCAACCAGTTAGTGACAAAAGAAAACAAACCTGTACTGTATTTAATGGGATTTCACCAGTGGAAAATGCAGCAACAAGATTTATAGCAAGTGCTGCTATATTGACAGTAAGCTGAAACTGGATAAATTTCTGAATATTTGCATATACAGACCGCCCCCATTTGACAACCTGAATTAGCGAAAGGTAATCAGCTTAAAGAAATAATATCTGAGGCCATCAAGTATTAAATCTCTCAAATAATTCACCTTAATAAATCTCTCACAAAAAAGTACTATTATCATTTGTGCATTTCAATTAATGCCATAAATAGTCCTTCAAGAGGTAAGGTAGGTGTTAAGCATGCATCATTGAGTAAGAATACTGCCAACATCTCTCAAATAAGAAATGAGGACTAACCTTCACAACTGAAGCAAAATTGTCATCCAAAATAATGATATCAGAGCTCTCTTTAGCAACTTCCGTTCCTTGGATACCCATTGCAAGACCAATATCGGCCTAAAAATCCAAAAATAGAGTCACAAAACAAACACATCCATGAAAAAATAAAACTAGTTTACATAATTTGAACCAAAAAATGTCTCAGAACAAGATATTCTAATTGAATGTAAAATTGACATAGCAAAAACAACATTGGCATCAGTTATACTCTTGTAACATTATAATTACCGTCATCGTCTTAACATGTATCTAAGAGAAAAATATAAGCACATGCCCCAAAAACATAAGAAATGCCTTTCAAACCTCATGTAGTGCGGGAGCATCATTTGTTCCATCTCCAGTTACAGCCACAACATGCCCCTTCCTCCTCAACGCTTGCACAAGCAAAAGCTTGTCATTAGGGGATGACCGTCCCATAACCTATAAGATAAATAGACACTTAATCTCATTGACCAAACAGTTACATCAATAAGGCTGTTATAGTTGTTCGATTATACCAATATGCTGTCAACAATTTCTTCTCTCCCTTTATCTGTCAAGGCACGAAATCTTTTTCCTTCAATTATGATTGGCTCTGTAGCATCAGAGCTTGAACCAAGAATTCCACATTCCATAGAAATTGCTTTTGCAGTTTTAACATTGTCACCAGTGACCATTTTTACCTGGGATTAGATATCCAAACCAATGGAATTAGTACTTTCCATAAGTAGAAACTGCACATGCCTTGCATACTGCATTTCTTAACCTAAACACTGTTCATTTTGCAGGATATTGAATTTCAGATGAACCTATAATAGAAAAATTGGCCATCGCATTTTCGTCATATCAAAAGCAATGATATGTTTTAAAATATTAAAAAATATCAATTCACATAAATGGTATCGTGACGTGCTCACTAGCATCTTAAATTTATTCTTTTGTATTTCTGGATTATGTTGGAAGTTGACTATTAGAACATGGATTGTCAAACTGAAGACATTATTGGATAGGTGATAACAATAATAAGTGATGGTCCTGAAGAAGTGGACCAACTGGAAAGGAACAATAAGAAGGTTAAGAAACTTTGGAGATGGATTATGCATAAGTCACAAACTCATATTTCCCTAGAGCATGTAGCGCAGCCTAAGCCCCTGATGTCACCCAAGGTTCCTTCATATAAGGAATTCTAGCTGGTTCGTTTCTGTATCTTGTATTCTTGATGAGCATGCCAGACAATGAATACTGTAGAGGATGATAACATATATGATGCTCACTAGCTCTTATTGCAAGAAACAGATAGCCTTGCCCAATAATTGAGTAGCAAGAGGAGCATGCAAAACTCCATAAGACATGATGATAGTGACTTGACAAGAGGAAGAGAGTGTGACTTGACTATTCTCTAGTGAAACTGTTTGGAGTTTCAATTTTCAGAAGACTCATAAGGAGCAGATTTGACAAAATGAAGAGAGAATTAATGTCATTGAATTCAGGACACGTTTGGGTAAATAGCTTAAATAAGCATGCATTCGGTAAAATCTTATCAAGTGAGAGCTAATTCATCAGCTTGACTGTGAAACTTGCTAAAATAAGCTAAAAAGAGCTTATTTTTATAGGTTTCTCCATGAAGCTTATTGAAATAAGATCTTACAAATACCCCTTTAGAATATATTAATCTTGGGAATAAGTAAATAGTTTTCTCAGAATTTATATAGTGAAATGAATTTTATTATTATTTTTTGTAAATAAATCATTACTTCAATAGAGTCATTAGAGGGTGAAACATTGACCAGTTAGCAGTACAAATAGAGTCCTATAACATGTTATGCTTGTCTCAATGACCTAAGCCTCTTAAAGGAACAAAATGACTTTCAACATCAAAAGCATGTATAAATACCTTAATCCCAGCCTTTTGGCAAAGCTGCACTGCATCTTTGACCCCAGGTCGACAAGGATCCTGCGTTTCAATGCATAATAAGAATAAAAGTCTCAAATTTAGAAGAAATAATATTTCTCATATATCAAATTATGGTCATTGGACCTAAATGTACATGATCCTAATGGCTATTTTAGGAAATATTAACAACTAATTCTAGGGAGACAAATCCCTATGATTATGAGATTTATTCTAAATACATAATCCTAGCAATAAATAATTGAGATAAAGAATAAAAATACAAGCAGGGATAAAATATAAACTTTCCTAAAATACACACTAAGTAACACGATTTTGACACTCCCTCTCAAGTTGGTGAATAAATGTTTTTCATTCCGAGCTTGGATATAATTCTTTCAAAGTTGTTATAGTTCAGCCCCTTGGTGGATATATCTGCAAGTTGATTTTGAGTGGACACATATGGAGTGCAAATCCAACCGTTGTCTAGCTTTTCTTTGATAAAATGTCTATCCACTTCAATATGTTTGGTTCTATCATGCTACATCGGATTGTGGGCTATACTAATTGTTGTTGTCACAATATAACCTCATATGTTCATCCCACCTTATCTTCCAATATAATCTTCAGCCATAGAAGTTCACATATTCCTTGGGCTATTGCTCGAAATTTTGCTTTAGCACTTGATCTAACTACTACACTTTATTTTTTGCTCTCCCAAGTTACCAATTTTCCACCAACGAAAGTGCAGTATCCAGTAGTTAATTTCTTATCCACAACTAACCCAACATAATTTGCATCTGTATATGCTTCAAGACTTACACTCTTGTTTCGTTTGAACAAAATCCCTCTTCCTAGAATCCTTTTTAAATACTGAATAATTCTTGTAAATGTACTTCTTTTGATTGGTGCATAAACTGGTTGACTAGGCTTACAACAAAAGTAATGTCTGGCCTAGTGTGGGATAAGTAAATAAGTCTACCCACAAGTTTCTGATACATTTCCTTGTCCACAACCATATCCTCCTCTGCACTTCAATTCCAAAAAAATATTTAAGTCTCCTAGTGTCTTAATCTCAAATTTTGTGGCAAGGCATTAACTTAACTCTTACTATTCCCTTTTGTCATTCCCCATTACTAAATATCATATACATACACCGGTAATACTTGTATTGTTACTCCCCCTGAATTGAATGTTTGATAAATAAAGTATGATCACCTTGGCTTTGTTTATAGCCCAATCTTGTCATAACTTTGGCGAATCTTCCAAACTATGCTCTCGGGGATTGTTAGCCCAAACAGAGCCTTTTTTAGTTTGCAAACAGTTCTAGTAGCAACCTATCCATCATAACCAAGGGGTAACTCCATGTATATTTCTTCTTCAACATCTCCATGTTGGAATGCATTCTTCACATCAAACTACTGCAGGTCTCAATCATGGTTTGTTGCTAATGACAATATTACTCTGACTGTGTTCATCTTAACAACTGGGACAAATGTTTCCAAGTAATTCACTCTATAGGTCTGAGTTAATCCTTTGGGCACTAACCTTGCCCTGTAACATTCAATAGTCCCATCTACTCGATATTTTACGGTGTATACCCATTTACACCCTATTGGTTTTTTTCCAGTTGGCAGAGTGGCAAGTTCCCAGGTCTTGTTCTTGTTTAATGTCTCCATCTCCACATCCATGGCTTGTTTCCATTTCCTGTCAGATAATGCTACATATACAAAGGAAGGTGTGGGTGTAGTGTCTTGGTTAGTGAAAAAGATTTTATGGGTAGGAGAGAATTTTTTAAAGGATAGAAAATTTGATAGAGAATAAAGTGGTCATTGGGTGCATGTTCTGGTTCCCTTTCTAAGGGCAATGGGTAAGTCAAGATTTTTGTCCACCTATACTTCTGAAATTTCAGCAACAAACTCATTAGAATTATTTATAGGATTAGAAGATGCTAACTCACATAATGATGGTGGATCGGATTCTTGGACATAAACAGAATCTGGAATGGCCTTTTCTCTCCTTGAATATGCCAGAATTTTTCCCACCATTAGTCTCAGGTTGAGGTGTAGGTGCAAGTCCTGTTGTTGAATCAGGGGTTTGTTCTGCTGAATTTGGTCTCCTTTCAATTTCAGGTACAACAACGCTTGGGGTTTACTCTATCGAATCTGGTTTCTTTCCAGTTTTAGGTATAACAATGCTAGTTGTCCCAATTTCAGGTCCAAATGCCATATTCAGAAGCATTAGAGGATCATTTCCTCTCTTACATTTTCCCCCTAAAGATGAGGTTGCTTGAAGTAACTCTCTTGTTTGTTCAAAATGACATCCCTTGACCCATAGAATCTTCTTGATGGAGGGTAAAAGCATTTGTATCCCTTTTGTGTGGTTGAGTACACCAAGAATACACACTTGAAAATTCTAGGATCCAATTTTCCCCTTTCATTACTATGAATATGTACAAAGGAAACATACCCAAATATTCTAGGTTGGAGTTTATTTGTAGGGTCCAAGTGTGGTGTAGACTGAGGATAGGACTTGCACGGGACTTTTTTATTCTAAGATTTTTTTAGGGCAACCTGTTGATTCCGTAGGTAGCAGTAAGGAGGGATTCCCCAAAAAATTTCTTAGGGACATGATTTTGAAAATGCAGGGCTCTAATTCGGTTTAATAAGTGTCCATTTTTCCTTTTTGCAATCCCATTCTATTGGGATGTATTGACACCTGAAGATTCATGGATTATTCCTTCCTTTTGGCAAAAAGAGTTGAGCACAAAATTAAAGTAGTCCCTGTCAAACCTAATTCTCTTAGTGTTTACTCCAAATTGGGTTTTAATCATTGATGTAAATTGAATAAAAATAGAACTAACTTCATAGTTCTGTTTCAATAAGAAAACTCAAGTCACCCGGGTACAATCTTCTATGAAGGTTAAAAACCATTTAGCGCCCGAGATATTAAGGATATTAAATGGGCCCGTAAATCAGTATGAACAAGAGAAAAAGGGTATGGACTCATTTTATAACTAATGGGAAAAGGTATACACTTTTGTTTAGCAAGTTCACACACCTCACAATGCAGACTCTCCACATTTAAATTCTTAAACAAGTAAGGAAATATCGTTTTTACAAATTGAAATGAAGGATGTCCCATCCGATAATGGAATAGTTGAATTTTCTCTTTGCTGGTCATGGTGGATGCAGATACAAGAGTGTGACTCCTGGTAGGCAGATTAGGGTCCTCTATGTAGTACAAGCCATTCCATTCTCTAGCATGTCCAATCATTTTCCCTGAGTTCTTGTCTTGTAATATACAAGCATTACTATAAAAAACAACATTACATGAGAGATCTTTTGTGAATTTTTGCATAGAAATCAAATTGGTGGACAACTTAGGATGGATGGGCTTATTTGGACCTCTCCTTGTCCTGTTGCAGTTATAAGGGTTTCCATCTACTATGAATTTTTTTGTTGTTGTTAGGACATGGAGAATATGTGGAGAAGTATTTGGGTAGAGGGGTCACATGGTTTGTGGCTCCAGAATCTAATATCCAGGAGTGGGTAAATAATGTATCTAAACATTAAGTCCAAAAAAAAATGGAAACTTATCAAAATATGTTAAGGAGCATGTACTAGTGGGCTTCTCCAATTTACTAAGAAAGGATCTTAGCCTTTTTATCTCTTCATGATTTAGCTAAACAACTTCTTCACTATGTCCATTAGCAATGTGTGCTTACCCTTGTCCTCCTTTTTTTTGAGGACCTCCTTTCTGCCCCCATTCTTTACTTGGAAATTTTCCATGTAATTTCCAACACTTCTCCCTTGTGTAGCGTAGTTTGTTGCAGTAGGTACACCAAACTTCCTCATGTTTTTTCTCCATATTGGGTAATCCGTTTTTCTTCTGGTTAACAATCATGGTTGTTCGTCCTTCAGCTATCATTGTTGAGCTTTTAGCAGTTGGGGTTTCCAACATCAAATCTCACATGATTTCTTCACTCCGGATGATGGCTATCACTTCATTAAGTCCTAAGACTTTCTCTTTTCCCCAAATTTGGATTCAGACATGGTCATATTCAGAATTCAGACCTAAATCATAAAACTCTATCTTGTTCAATGTATTGCTGAATCTTCTAAACACCTTGCTTTTATGACGCGATAGTGATCCAATTCCATCCATAGGGATTTGAGCTGATTGGCATATTCTGTGACTGATTTATTTCCCTGTTTGCCACCCAAGGTTTTCACCTGTACTTCATATATTTGTGCAGCATCTTTGGCCTTAGAATAGGTTTGTTCTACTACCTCCCAAATCTCCTTTACTAATTTAAAAGGAACATATATGTATCACTGATTTCTGGGACCATTGAATTCCATAGCCCAGGCCATGATCATGGAGTCATCTTCATCCCATGATTTGAATTTGGCATCTGTTTCATCAGGGGCATTATCAGTCAGGTAACTGTCCTTTCCTTTTCCCTTCAATGTGATCCTAATGAGTTGAGACCATTTAAGATAATTTTTTCTAGTTAACCGATAAGCAAAATAAATATTTTGCAATGCTCAGCAATCTAAATTTTGTTTCCTGTTTCAGGAACGGAATTCCCAACCTCAGCCATGGTTGAGATCAAGGTTGCGATAAGTAATGAAGGTAGCAAAGAAGGCTACGATGTAAGGTTTTAGGCACAGTCAGAGCCTCCTAGGATTAGGAGTTCTGATACCATCTCAAATTTAGAAGAAATAATATTTCTCATATATCGAATTATGAGGTCATCGGACCTAAATGTACATGAGGCTGATTGCTATTTTAGGAAATATTGACCGATAATTCTAGGGAGACAAATCCCTGTGATTACTTGATTTATTTTAAATACATAATCCTAGCATTAATAGCAATAAATAGCTGAGATAAAAAATAAAAATACAGTCAGGGATAAAGTATAAACCGTCCTAAAATACACACCAAATAACACAATTTTGACAAAAAGAAATAGTAAGAAGATATTCAAATGATAAAAATTAACGTGAGGATGTCATGCAACAAAGTGTAGGCCCTTTAAGAATGACCATAGACTCAAAAAGAGATATACCACCAAAAAAATGACAAATTGAGCAAGTTATAAATGTTAGTGCTAACGACATTCAACATAAAACTAAAAACAAAAAGGTGATTAATATCATATAAGACAAGAATACAATCAGGACGTTATAACGCTGGTAACGAAATAAAGATGACAACGTATTATGCTTGAAGGGTATTTACTTGGAAGAATAAGGGGAGGACAAACAAAATAGCTAGTTTTGACAGTTACATAAGTTAGTTAAAATTAGATAAGGGAAGATGATCGTTATGAGAAGAACACTTATGAACTGAGCATTAGCTATATTTTTGAAAGGGAAACCCTTGGAAGGAGAAATTCTCCTTTTTCATGAAATTTCATATATCAATAACAGCTCTTTTCCATTCTTTCGTTCTATCTGTCAACTCTCTCATTCATGGGTTCTAAACACCTTGACAAAGTAATTTCTAGAGGAAATATTACCTTCAGGCCAATAATAGCCAATAAAACAAGATCATCCTCTGGTAATGACCAGTGAGCAAGTTCTTCGCTAGTTGGAACATTCTCCATTTCATATGATGTATATGCAATTGCAACACAGCGTAGACTATCAGCAGCCATATCTTCAATAACATTTTTAAAATATGACATCTGCGAGCCCGGAAAATTTTACTTAAAAACATTATCAAAATCAGTCAAAAACAAGTATCAAATGACATCCAACAGTTCATGTAATAGTTGTATTAACTTTTGTTTCATTAGTGTATGTTATGATAAAAGATAGAGAAGAGGAAAACTTGGGAAAAAATTGTAATCAGATAAGGTTTCCAAACAGGAAAATTTTGATCGGGAGGAAAAACCAATGCCTTTGTTTTAACTATTGATCTAAATTTTTAACTATTTCTTCAAACCTTCTCTTCATCCATCTCCACCCACTGATCATTAAGATCAATATACCGTGTACAACTAGCTAGGACTATCTCAGCAGCACCTTTCCAATGTATATGGATTTTAGAGTCAGGCTGCGGAAAAGTATAAAATTATTAGCGATAGTAGTCTGGAAGAAAAACAAGATATAGACATCATCACATAATATTTCAATTTAGAACAGAAGCAAAAATTACATATTTGAATTAAAATGCCAATAAGGTATTACCAGCATTATTGCAACTCCTCCTCGTTTTTTGTCTGAATTAAATGGGAAGACATGAATAATTGATGATTCTGATCTGAGAGCATCAAAACGCATCCCAAGCTGAAATTTGATTCAACAGTCATAACTAATGGAAAATGCATAAAGCTCCTTAAAATGAAGTTCAAATTTTAAGTTTCAAAACAGACCTTAATTCCCCACTCTAAAATTGCCTTTTCGGTTGGTGATCCAGAAATCTCAACATCATTACCACCCTGTTATGAATCGATTTATTCATGTAGTAGTAGAACAAGCCAATTATGAAGTTATTATTGGGGGGAACTGAAAAAAAAAAAGCATTTCTATCATACCTCAGGGACATAAACACTTCCATTAGTGTTCTGTGCAACACCTTCAATCAGCAAAGAGCATAGCAAAGGAGGGAACTGTCCTGCATCGTCAGGAGGAGTAATCTTCTTCCCACCAATGCAAGCCTCAACCACAGTCATCTATCTCAGAATTTAGGTGAAATTAAAATTTGCTGGACACACCATTATCTTCATAGTAAACTACTCCCTCAAAATATTCACCCAAAATAAATAGCTACTGGTCAACCCTCAGACCATGTTTTATAGCCTATTCATGTTCGAAGTTATCACATTGGCAGGTTGTTGAAATCCTTAACTCCTAATCTTACAAGTTGATGTTTCCCACTTGACATAAGCTTGGAAGCACGTATGCCAATAAAAATATTGCAACAAGTGCTCTCTAACAAGTATGTGTAACTCACCATAAATATTATAAAAAAAGGTTTAAATACTGAATCACAACTAACCTGATTCATAGTCAATGTTCCAGTCTTATCACTGCAGATGGTTGTGGCTGACCCCATTGTCTCACAGGCAGAGAGCCTCCTTACCTGTAATTCAATGTGTTATATTAAACAGCGTTTCTCAAATAGATATGCCAAAATTCAATAGCACAAGTAAAAATTGGCATACCAAGGCTTTATCTGCCATCATTTTCTTCATTGAGTAGGCAAGTCTGTAAAGTAGTTGATGGCGGTGTTAGTAGAGAGAGAGAGAGAGAGTAACACCTCATAGATATATGAAAGAGCATATTGACAATCTAAAATGGATAGAACAGAGATAATGATCGCATCATATAATGACAAGAGAATAAAATTAAAATTAAAAAAATGTGTAAGAAAAAATTAGCATCAGATTAAACAACAGAAAATCTACATTGGACCAATATTTGGTACACTCATTATCCATAATGTGCAGCAAAACCACAGTTAATGTTATCACATATCCATCAAGACTAGGTAAAATCTAGATGAAGTTATGAAACTTACGTTAAGGTGACTGCTAAAGGCAGCCCTTCAGGCACTGCAACCACTACAATGGTGACCTACATATTCAACACATTACAATCACCAAGTAGTTATTAACATTAACGCCTGTGAAAGGATATGAACATATTTTATCTTTAAATGGATCATATACGATCAAGTATTCTAGTACTTCTCAATGCACATACCGCAACAGTGAATACTTTAATCACTCCATCAATAGCATTACCAACTTTTGTTTTGCCCGCTATAAATTGAACACTTCCATCTGAGTTTCTAGTATGCCCTGAGAAATACCTGTGTTTATAAGTTGCCATTTCAGAGACATTTAAAAAATATAAAATATCATTTAAAAAAAGAAAGGTTAAAGTGCAAATTCTGCAATCAACTTTGACGGTTTGGCAATTAGTCCTGCGCTTTCACGGTTGACAATTAACATGGTTAAACTTTCAATATATGGCAAATAACCAATTTCAATAACGAACCCATAATTTGAATTTTGACAGTTAACCGAATGAGTTAGCAGAGAATAAACCATACATTGAAAATTTAAGTGGGTTAATCTCTGAAATTCCGAGGATGTTAACTACAAAAATACGCCCGAGGTCTATTTGATAAAGGGTCAGCGTTAAAAACTTTCAATTTAAACTAAAATACATTTAGATCACAGAAAGAAACATTTACAAACCTGGCCAGTAGCACTATCAGAACAATAATAGCCACAGAGAGTCCAATAATACCAATTAAGGTAGCGAGACCATTTAAGCGTACCTATATTGAGAACTTTATATGGGTAAACATACTATTAGAAGCAGAAACTAAAAAACAAACTGCATGTAAAAAGGGACCTGCAAAGGTGTTTCTTCACCATTGTCTTCTGAAATGCTAGCCATTAGAAGCCCCCATTCAGTATTAATACCAACAGCTGTTACCTGAGGAAGGAAAGCAGCCAACAAAAAGAAACATCAGAAAAAAAAAAAGTTTCATCAATAGAACAGGTGAACTAAAACTAAAAAGAATAAACATCATCAATTTAATATATTGAATTATTGAAAAAAATTTCAGTACAATTTAATCCATATTTCACCAATATAATTTCCCTCTGCCTATTGTTTTCAAAAATAAAAAAGTGGCTAGGATCCCTTCCTGAACAGTATGCGGTAGATGAATAATTTACATCATTTCAGTGACTTCTCCAGAAAAAATGAGCAGTTTCCTTATAAATCCAAATAAGAAAAACTTTCCTGTAGTGAAAAGTTTTAGAGTAAAACATCATTTTTGTTTCTGAAACATATCCTTATCCTTAGTAAAACACCCGGAAAACATGAGAAATTTCCTTACAGATCCAAATAGGAAAATCTTCTACGATTTTACTAAAACATCATTTTAGTTTCTGAAAGATTTGAAGTTAATTACATTAATCTTTAAAAGATGGTAATGTCAATCAATTTAGTTCGTTTTAGAATTGATATCAAAGAATTACTAAATCGATCCATGTTTCTTTTTTTAAGTACTAGTATGGCCCACTACAAATCTTTCAAATACCAAAATGGTGTTTTACAAGTTTTTTTCTGCCCTTGGGATAATTCTCATCTAAGCTATAAGGGTTAAGGTCCACTTACAGGTTATTTATTATTACATGAACCCTTTGAAAACTCCTTAGTTTTGTAAATAAAATCGAGCCATGACAAAAGAAAAAAAATAGAAGGGAAAACGAAAGTCTAAAATTTACCAACATAGTTCCACTGCCATCTGCAACTTTACATCCAGAAATCAGAAAAGGATCTTTAGAATTTTTTTCGACCTGAAAAAGGAAAATTATTATCCACTTAATAAAAGTGAGCAGTAACTACCCTTATTCTCCACAAGATAGAAATAACACTTACAATCTTGCTCTCCCCAGTCATACTTGATTCATCAATTGCAAGAGAGTGACCAGTGATCAAAACTCCATCAGCAGGGACCTAGAAAAGATCAGTCAAGAACTAAATAACAAGAAATGAAACTATCAGGTGTGATATGCAAATATAGCAAAAGAAATACCTGGTTACCGATGTTAAGGGGTATAACATCACCAACAACAACATCATATATGGAGATCTCAACTCTTCTACCATCTCGAATAACCTTCTCAAGCACAAATAAAAATATATAGATATACGATGATAATAATAATAATAATAATAATAATAATAATAAAAGTACAGCTAAGCCAAAAAAATACCTCTAAATGTATGTTTCTCTTGTGCTCATTTAGATCTCGAAACTGAAGAGACTGTTTATAATCACTTATAGCTACGAAAGAGGAGGAGAAACAAATGAGGATGTTTTACCCATCAAAGGGGAATATTATTAAATGGAATTATCATGATAACAACCATAATAAATGACAAAGATGATAATGGACTTGAGTCTACATCAAATGCATATATCAAATTGAAAATTCAGAAGCAGAATCTTAATGCTTTAATGCATTATCAGTTTTGCAAAGACAATATTAATACCTGTAACAAGAATAACAAGAATAACTGCAAAAGAAATACTTCCCCCATCATACCATCCTTCCTTGATACCCTGAAACAATTAATTATGAACTGGATGAACCATATTCTTAGAATTAACAAAAACGTATTACTAATACCAAATTATGAAGGAATGAAGTGACAAATACAAAAGGAACACCAAAGGTCAAATGAATTTGTTGTTGGTAAAACATTACATTAGTCAAATAAAAAGTACATGTGCCTGGTATACAGACGATATCATGGTCCTAGTCTGAGAGCTACTAAGCTAACAGAAGGGTTGTACACCAGAAATCTATAAAGAGATTAAACAAAAGGAAAGGAATGTTGTCTAGTATGCAACGACACTATCCAAGAATACCGATAAGGGAGAATTACAAGGAAATAGGAAATATGACCAGTTTGAGGATTAATTTTAGTACAAGGGCTGAGGTAGTGAAGGGGAAAAAGTGCAGTAATTGGTGACTGTGCCGTACTGGAAATTAATATTTGCATGCATTTTTATAATAAAAAAAGTGTATGCATGGAATAAGACTGTCTGCTCTAAGTAAAAAGGAAGACTACTGAAAGGATTTTCTTTATTACGACATAAGAACAAAAAATTGTATCACAACTTTCTCAACCAATCTCACCTCGGATTTTATCCCCAGTGCTAATGAAGCCATTGCAGCTACCATTAAAATAATCAAGGTCAGATCCTTGCAAGCATCCCACATAAACATCTAAGGCAACAAAAACAAAGACATCAGTATAATAACCCTCCAACAAAAGAGGTTATCAAATGATTAATGTGCACCAATAAACTTCTTCCACTCTTTCGAGGATAGTTGTTGGAGCCAAATGCAGTCCTCCGTTTTACCAAGTCAGCATCATCACGTCGAATCCCCTTCTCTAAATTGGTTTTCAACAAATTTGATAACCCTACAACCTTATAAAGTGATTTAGAAGAATCACGTGAATATGATGACACTAATCAATATAATTACAGATTTAAGAAAATTATTCAAATAACACTTACCCCTCCATTTTCTCGCAGAGCCGTAGTATCACGGTCTCTTGAAATTGAACAAAGTTGTTCTAGTCCAATTAAAAATTCTCCACTGGAGCTTGAATCAGGTTTTATAGTTCCTAGTCCTGACAATTAAAAGCACCAAGCATTAATATTGGGAAGAAAAAAAACTAGTTTCTACGCTTTCAATATACCAGGCCAACTAACTGACAAAATGATTTAATACAGATCTAGGGAGTGCCAAGCATAAGCACACCAAAGCATTTTCAACCTTCTTTATAAGCAAAAATGGTATAAAGGTACAAAAAACACTTATGAATTTTGTTCACAAACTACTAGAACTGGCAACCTTCATGGCTCTAAACAGACCAAAGTACTGAACTCATGAAGATTATCAGAATAAGAAATCAAATACACAAGATAAGTAAAAAGCATTGGGAGTAAATTTTATAAATTACAGAACAAGAATAAATATAGTTACAACAAATGCATTTCTAACAAATTAGGAGACAGCACAGGAGTAAAAGGAAAACTACTATGAAGTACTAGTTTACTACAATTTCTACGCATAATAGTGAAAACAATCTAATGACTCACCATTCATTTGCGCAGCTTTCTTGAATAGATATGCAGCCTAATAGAGTAAATTAATTAATTAGTTCACTTGACACATGTAGCGAGCAATAATTAAGAAAGTCAGTTGAAGAACCAAACTTGAATGACCCGTGTATGCATTATAATAATTCTTAATAATCGCTTCTTCTCTTCTTCTTTCTTTAAGTCCAAGGTGTAACGAAATCGACGAGAAGCATTGAGCACAAGTGCCGCTTGCTGAAACACCAAAGGAATTATTGTCTGGTCATTCAACAAAACATTGTCTCCCAAATATAGAAAATAAATGCATGTCAAAAATAGTCAAATACAAGTAGCAATTGATGTTAACACAATTATTATAAAATGGGACTCTGATACTGCAGAAATAATAAACAAAAGTTGGCTTCAAGTCCCTGATGCAAGATCAAGAAAAATGCTCTGTATCTTGTCTTCAGCCAGTTTCGGAAACAGAGGTTTATTTTTGTAGGAGAGTAATTGCAACTTCAAAAGAACCATTGTAAATATAATATATCTTGAATTCAAACTAGCATAAAAAAGTCAAGAATTAAGTGTCTATTAGGAATAAACTACCAGAACTGTAGTACTTATTCCTTGTCGCAAACTGAACTTTTTTCCCCTGCGAAAATGTTAAACTTTTGTAGTAATTGAATGATTTCTTTCATTCCCATAACATTGGAAAATCTCAAATGTCAGAAGAATTGAGACTTAACTCAGAACAGTTGTTAGTCAAGTTAATTGCTTTCTTTTTTTGTCTTTCCAACAAATGCTCATACCATTCTAACATTGCGGTCTCCAATTCCAGTCTTGCTTTATTTGCAACTGATACTGGCATCATCAACCCTCTTAACATTTAAATATTATATTAAATTTCTCTTTACTTTTCTCCCACTAAAAACTTCATTTATCCATCTATATTTTGCAATGGGCTCAAATATTGAAACCCAGCAATTCGAATTAGTCTTTTAGAGACCAATTTATTACCCTAACTGAAACTCAAATCCCTAAATCCAGTCCAAGATTTCTTTAAAATGTCCACCTAAGAAAAAATTTAAATTTTGGAAAGACAAGGAAGGTACTTCAGGTCAAACAAATTAAACCAATATTTTCAGAAACTGGATCTCATAAGAGCATTGGCACATTATTCTTCAACGACCTTTACAAGAAACGTATGGACTGATCTCACTTAGCTTCCTAACTGATCATCGTTCTCACTATCTAGCGTCCAGCAAACAAGGATCCAATTTGTCTTCAACCACAACTCTGTTAAAATAATTACACAGATATGTCCACATTCTTTGACTCCATACACACCAATGGTTGTCTATAAAATTTTAAATGGATCAAAATATTATCTCTTACCACAAATCAAAGGCTCAAAGCAGGCCATTCTACCTCTTCAGTACTTTTCCCAAACTTATGAGGTGGGGTGTTACTGTTTGTAGATAGTAAGAATCCTGGACTGCTGCTGGTAGTCTTGACAATACCTTAAGTATGTTATTCGCAAGTATAGAAAAGTATTCAAAGTAATACTTCCTAAGAAATCCTTTGGAGTACATTGTTTCGGAAGAGATTCACAAGATGTTCAAAACAGTACTGAAGACCCCAAAAACTGTGCTAATTGGAATGTGTCCTGTGCTCCGTTGAATACTCTAATCTACTCCAGATTAGCTTTTAGTATTGAGTCTTGCAACAAACCTTCAATCAGCTCCTTATCTTTCTAATAATATTGTATACTTTTATCCGTACTCTGCTTCATACTTGTAGAGACAGGTCCTGTTCCCTCGTTTTTTAAAATAATTTATATTAAAAAAAAAACTTGTTTAGTCTCATACTTTAAAAAACAATAATTTTGTACCTCTTACTTAATGGTAAACTCGTCAGAAACACGTTTAATGAACCTGCCCTAAAGCCCACAACAGTTAGGTTTGACAGCAGATGAGTACTATTGTTATACTCGTAGCAGGGAAAAAATTTCCACATATTATCAATCAGTCATGATCTGACCTTTGTATCTTTTTTTTGGAATGCACGTGACTTTGAAATTCTAATACCAAACAATTTTGGGCCATTTATTATCTACTTGTCTTTTCAAACATGTTTCTTGAAACCAACTCTCAATCCAGTACTTCCCTGGCGCCTGCTCTCACTTCGGTGAGCAGCGATATATGGTGTCGCTATGAATCAAAGTAGAAAGCTCCTTTCTTAAATATTTTTTATTTTAGTTTTCTCTTCTAAGAAACATGAATTGGAGTCAGTTTTTAAGTCATGGTAACATCTGTATTTTCAAGGAAATTTATAGTCTGAATAAAAAGGGTTCCGTCGAGAATAAATTTAAAGAAAGTTAATAAAAAATGTAAAAAAATAAAAAAAATTATGAAAATTTATAAATGATTTAATGGATGAAAATAAAAAAAATTATTTTAATAAAATAATTGTAACATAATCATTTGACAAAAATTCTTATTATTATTATTTAAAATATTTAAATTATTTTTATTTAAATTATTATTATAATAAATATTTTATTAAAACCATTATTAGTAATAATATTAATATAACTATTATATTTATATTTATTATTAGTATTATAATAATTATTATTATTATTTTATTATATGTAAGAATCACATTTAATAATAATAATAATAATAATAATATAAAAAACTGATTCCCAATAAATCATCGATTCTAACGTTATGAAAAATCTATTCTCATCTTTTTTATCAAAAATCGATCCTCGATAAAACAAAAAATCAATTCTCATTTCATTTTATAAAAAATTATCATAATCGATTTTCCTTTATTAAAAATTATTATTTGTAATTATATAGAAGAGTGAAATAAAGGTAATTTACAATAGATAACATGTATTTCTTCTCTCGTCTTCTCACTTCTGTGTTGTATCATTTCTCCCTCAAATTCACACTTTCAAATCCTCAAAACAAATACGTTTGATCTTTCATCCGCTTAAATAATACATTACACGAAACAAACACGTTATAAATTAGCAACTCCTTTATATATATATATATATATATATATATATATATATATCATAACCATTTTTTTTAAATATTCCTTCAATCATCTTTTTTATATTTTTATATTATTATTTATTTATTCTACTTTATTTTCTTCATCAATTAATAAAAGATAATACTTTTAAGGGATATTTAAAAAATTAGGTGTTAAAATTTTTGTCCCGTATATATATTCGGTACAAATTCAAAATCATAGAAACAGTATCAATCATATTTTAAGAAATAATAAGACATAACATAGTAACAGCAATAGACTGAATTAGAAGTTTTGACACATACCCTCCAGCGCCTGAGGCGTTGAACCGGAGCATTTTTTGTTCTGGTAACATCAAATGGATCAGCAGAAAATTCTCCATCATCAAAATCAGCAGAGCAGCCAGCGGGAGACCCAGCCTCTATATCGGCCGGCGTCTGGCTGCCAGGAGAACCCTTGGAGAAACTCATACTTCCGGAAACTGTCGCAGGAAAGATAACACCGTCACTACCTAATATGCCTCACTACTGCTACTTCACATTATATCATTAATAACCGTTTTTTCACTTCCACTTTCAGAAGAAACCTCACCGTTTCACAAGAAAACCTAAATTCAATCTTTCTACTTCTCAATTAAGCACTCCAATCCAACACATGTTCCACAAAATAAAAGTAAGCAGTTCAAATATCCACCCTTCAAATTTCAACTGATATTTGTCGTTTATTTATTATTCAAAGTCGCAGTTCCTTGACCACTGAGCTCTAGACTCAAATCAATCATTTTCAAATGCACAGTGAAACACTTATCTCTAGAAAATTAAGACCCCTAAAACCTATCTCTCTCTACGAACCAGTACATTAAGCTTATATAGCGCATAATGCATATCACTTCTCCGTGTTTGCAATAAGCATAGTAGCGTGTGGACTCACCGGGAAAATAGAGAGACTATAGGATTACTCTGGTGCTGATAGCGGTACTCTAGTCTTCGTCTTCCTCTTTCTCTGCAACCTGAAACCCTTCAGAGTAGGAAAGGAACATTGTTATACTAATAAATAACGGAACCGTATCTAAAGCAACAATTAAATAAATTTCCATTTCCATTCACGAGATTTCCACCTCATGCAACAGAATCTCCAAAAATAAAAAATACGCATAGTTTCCCTCCGTCGAGGAAATTTCGTTTCACGATTTAAGTGCAGTATACAGTTTACAGTTTACGCGCCTAAATAATATTCTCTTTCACTTTTTGTTTTCTTATTTCCAAGATTGTTGAATCAGCTTTTTTCCAATCTCTAATAGAAGCCTTTTCGTGTTATCAGTTGATGCAGGAAAACGAAACGCAACATTTCCTGTAGTGGAAAGTGGTTCAGTTTGATTCAGTCCATGTAATAGCGACGACAGCACGAGAATCAGAACCTTCACTTTTGGAAACGATAGTGACGAAATTTTTTTGAATATATTTTAGTTATTAGCAAAGTAAGTTTTGACGTATGACGCAGGACGCAGAAGTATCGAAGAGAATGGTTGAAAGAGAGGAATAACTAACTTGTGGCACAAATCAAAAGTGCCAAATGAGCGAGCACTCACTAATGCAATGCGTGAGATTGTATGCTTCACAGTTCAAGCGTTGAAATGACCGGAAGTATATATTCAATAGCAGGTAAAGATTACGGGAGGAAATGTCAGAAACAGTTTCAAAATTATTACTCGTTTTAAAATATACTTTTTATTAATTGAAATTTGTTGATTTAAAAATAAATATAATTTCAAATTAAAAAATAATATTAAAATTATCTTAATAATTATTATTAAACATCTTAAGACATCATGATCGGTGAAGAAATGAAATAAAATATTTTGTTTGATAGCGTAATTTGTAGTCCTAATAATGTTAAACCTAAGAATGGTATTTACATAGATATGCTTGAATAGTATTTAGAAATTAAAAAATCTAATTAAATTCTGAAAAAAAAATATATATATATATATATATATATGTATTTATATAAATTTTCTGATATAAAAATATGTATTCACATATTTTTTAAAAATGAAAAAGGATAACGTAAGCAACCCTTAACATTTTTCAAAAAAATTTAGCCTCTCATATTATTAATTTAAACAGTGTTAAAATTTCATAATGTACTATAATTTCATAAAAGTAAATTCCAGATTTGTGATTCTAATTAACGAAAACAAACTTTTAGACATCATGTCTAATTTTAATTTTAAGCTCTAATTTCAAACTAATTTATGTGCATCAATGAGACACTAAAATTATTTAACATGTACTTTTTTAACTAGGTATATATATATTTTTTACATTAATAATATAAGTTTTAATTTGTGATTGAAATACTTTATTCACTTCGATACACTTCATGATTGTACCTTCTAGCAAATTGACGTGGAAGACATTGTGTTGTGTCCCTGAACAATTGTAATGGCAAGGAGGCAAACAGTACTAAAATCTAAAATATTAAGACGTAATTATTTTAAAATCCATTGTGATCTCAAATCATTTTAAGAAGTAAAAGGATGTTTAAGAGACGATTACCTTCAGAGAATGATGCTAGCTTGAACTATTTATCCTGGAGCAATGTGTTCACATCATTTGCAGTCAGAACAAATCTGAAATACCAAGCAAGAGATTATTCCTTATCTTCAGAAAGGAACACTTCAAGGAAGAAAATCGGCGTACTACATGTGTTACCATTAGACTTTGAATTTCATTTCACCTTGTAATTATATATGCATGAAATGAAGGGTAGATAACATTTGAAGAATGCAGTTGCAGAGTGCTGATTTTATTTGTTGCCTCTGCAAATGGTGGCATATAATATATATCTATCTTTCCTTCCAACTTCCATTCCTTAATCACTTTGTTACGAAAGGCATATATATATATATATATATATATATATATATATATATATAACGGGCCCAAACATTCGTTCTCTGTTTGGGAAAACAAAAATGCTTTATATATATATATATATATATATATATATATATATATATATATATATATATATATATATATATATATATATAGAAAGGGGGAGGAGGTAAAAAAAAATTCAACTAGTTCTCCCTCTCATCTTCTTCTTTTGTCTAAATTTCAAAATTTTAAGCAAAGACTCTACTCGTGCAGGATCTCGGTGAAACGAAAGAGAACTTGAATTAAGTGGGAAAGCTTCAGTAGAAATACCACACTAGGTAAGGGAAAATTTAATTTATTCAATATATGAGACTGAATTCTTGAGTACTCTGTGAATAAGGAATAAGAGTGAAAATCTGAACATTAGAATGATTGATTTTGAAGATTTCTCATGTTTTGCAAAACTTAAAATTTTATTGGAATTCTTGAAATTAAGGATGAATTATATGGTAAAATTGTTGTTTTCAACTTAAATTATATATAAGTCATGTTTAATTTGAATTTAGAACTAGTTTGGTTGTCTAAAACCGAGTAATTTGAAATCTGCTAAAATCTGCAAAATTTGATATTGTGCGAGGAAGAAGAAAGGGACATGGAAGAAATTTTCGAAAATGTTCAAAGGTAAAATAGTCATTTTTGGGACATGAAAGGAATTTTCGAAAATGTTCAAGGGTAAAATAGTCATTGGGACATGGAAGGAAATTTTGAAAATGTCCAAGGGTAAAATAGTCATTTATGGACATACATGGAATTTTCGGAAAATATTAAGGGCAAAATAGTAATTTAATAATTTCGAAATGATTTCAAATATATATATATATATATATATATATATATATATATATATATATATTTAAAATATAGAATGAAGGTAGCAGCTTTAAAGATTCAAGTAGTGTGTCGTGACGTGTGCGGGTCAGACTGAGCTTAAGGGCTCATGCCCAGAATCAGTCATGAGATGTTATGTATTGGTTAGACTGAGCTGGAGCGTTGGTGCCCAGAATCAGTCAAATACTATTATTTATTGACCTGAATGAGTCGTGAGAACAGGTGGTCCAGAATCCGGTAGATGTGAATGATTTTTGTTATGTTTGAATAGTACCCGGGGTGGTATAGAGTATATTAGTGTAATAACTATGTTGGAGGATTCTGAATGAGATCCCAGACTTCACTGATCGGTCGGGTCAGGTAGACTATGAGATCAGGTGGTGAGAAGTCGATGGGGGATGACTAGTGGCGCGCTCGGAGGGGTACTCCAGTATGAGTGATGAAGGGCGCCAGTAATCCTACTCTGTGTGGAGGGTGGTCAGAATGGTACTATGGGTGCCGATCACAATATGCCCACAGATGATAGCCTCTGAGTTCGGGCATAGTTAGGGTAGACTTCTGGAAGGCGTCTTAGGGTATTGATGATTTGTAATTAATGATAACATGTAATTATTACTTCTATTTGTTTTATTTTATCGAATAATTTAATACTTACCTCTATTTTTCCATGTAGATGAGACTGCAATTATGACTTTTATGTGGGAGCAGATAGAGTTGAGAGGTGGAGATGCGTCTACTGAATAGTAGGGATAGTTCAGTGTGGTAGCTACTTTTGTATATATCTATATAAATAAATTATGTTAATATGTTTTGAAGTTCTGTCAATTAATCGGGATTTCAGTCTATATTACAATTACAGTAATATAATATAAATATTATTATTTACTTGTTTACTATTTTGCGAAGATACAATTATAGTAGCGATTTCTAGGGTCATTAGATGATTGAATTGTGTGACATTTTTCAAGCATGTTTGTTGGTAAAAAAAATGTTATCCTAAAATTTTGTAGTAATAGAAAAGGCTTCTCTATGTCACTGGCTAAATTTTAAAAATATATCAAAATAAATAAAATTTTAAAGTATTTTTGAAATTCGATATTCATTTTCAAAACCGATATTTTTTATTTAAAGTCGTATTTTAAAATATAATGTAATTACATGAAAAAATTATGCAAATTAATTTTACATATTAATATATATTTATATATAAATAAAGGTACTTGTAAACATTGACAAGACTAATAATGTTGGCGAAGTAAAGTTGTGCAATTTTTCAATTTATATCATTTTCGTTCGGTAAAAAATGGAGCAATCTAATATAAAATGAAATAAAATTATAAAAGGTGTATCATTTTTTATGTAATAACATATGTGTTTGATGATTCATACTATTTAAGCACAATATTAAAGTATAGTTTGATCTTTAAAAGAAAAATCATGTTCATCTTATTTATAATTGTCTCTACTCAATTTCTTTAATTTATGATTTCACCCTTCCATTTTATTTTTATTTTTTTTATTGTCACCGGTAGTAAACAAGTAATATTTAAAATTTACAATAAATAATATTTATGAACATAATAAAAAATATTCTTGAACATGTAAATTATACTTTAGATCTATGATCAATCTTACTGTAATACAAAATTGTTTATAATTTTTTAAAGGAATTAAAAAAAATGAAATCATTAAGAAAGTAA